CGAAGTTAATTTCACGAAATTCATAGTGCGCTTCGCAGCAGTCGTCAGGAGCTGATTTTGGGACATGATATGGGGGTGGGACGGTAACATATTTTGTGGGGGTCAAAAAGTGATAACGACAGATGAGGACTGATAATTACGATATGCGTACGAACGTAGAGATTACTCGAAACCAGATTGCAGATAATGCATTTCATTTCAATATCATTTCATTAGCGTTATAATTGTAAACTCAAACACCTTTCGACCGCTACACCTTCTAGAGTTCTTGAGGATGAATGGGATGCTCGAATAAATATGATAATGAATACTGGGCATTCCGTTTTGAGATATTCGACCGCTAAATTACCTCGATACTCGACGCATAGTGGTTGTTTACATCATCACTTTAGCTGTGCACTTCACTGCGCTTATCAAACAGTGAGATACAGCCAAGATGGGCAACGGACAGTAATGCATTTAACGAAGCAGCTATAGTTAAGCGGTGAAACCCAAAGCTTCACCGATTGTCAGTTTTATCAGAGGCTTCCGTGTCATGCGCGCGGTAGCGGGCGGAGCTAAACTGGTACTATTATAATTATCCCCTATAATCTAAGTGAATTGGATAACTCGTAACTTCTTGTAAAAAGTGATAACTAGGCCTTTAGAAATAAAGTCTTAACAAATCAAGCAATCGTACTAAACATCCTGCGCATTCTTTTCCTTTCTTTGAATTTGATGGCACCTAGGCAATCATTCTAAAGTTCTTGGAAAGTCGACTACTCTTGTCCGACGTGTCGCTGCCAGCAAAATTGAGAGAATTCAAAATATAAATGAATCGGTTTCTTGTCGTTAGTCTGACTGCGGAAGATCTGCTCTATATAACTCTTGTAGACCCATATTTTTTTGATGTTTGACCCCTTCTCGATGCTTATATCAAAACAAATGGCTAAGATCTTATAGAACTCCTGTTCATCAAACAGAGACCAAAAATCAAATAGTTGTCAAGAAGATGGTGCGAACAGCAGAATATTTTCTTACATTACGAAGTTCTAAGCACTATGTTTCTCCATATGCGAAAACATATCCCAAGAAATTTTGACTTCAGTAAGAGAAATATCCGAACTGTTGAGAAAAAAAAAACCGCTCCCTGTGGCCAAGTGCATCACATGGTGATGCATGCCGCTAGACGAAAAAAAATCGCGTGGCCACGCGCGCGGGAAATCCACAGAGAGCGCCGGTACGCAACGTGTTAAAGTTAGCTGACTGTACCACAGGACAGCTACTATAGGTAAACGATAATGGTTCAAGCTCTCCATTATTATTCTTGCGGTAAGTGGGACAACCCGAAAAAAAAACGACTGAATGTGGCTTTGAAATAGACAATCATCATCAGATGGCCATTCTATGCAGTCCTTCTTATTTAGTGCACATTTAGGTTCGCGAGGTACTACGTAGCGTTTTTCGCTCCAGATATCGTCGATCTATACGTGAAGTGGCAATATGCGTAGGACCCAATCCTCACCGCATCAACCATGCTTACAGTACGTCACGTTCTTTTTCCTTTCTTTTTAGTTCCTTGCATTCAGTACATTGTAGCCTTGCAAATTCGAACTGTGAAGCATAGTTCTGAAAAAAAGGTTGGGCTGTAACCATGTGAAGACTGTGTGTATCAAAGTGGGCATCGCGTTCTATTCAAATTCTTCACAGCGAAATATCAAAATATGCGCGATGACTTTTAAGATCTTTGCTTGGTTCATAAAGAGTGAATAATTACGCAAGTCCAGAACTTGATTGATCACTTCGAATTTTCCAAGTAGTGATTTAAATGTGCACCAATGCAACAATTATTTCGCGACCTGATGTTCTAGAAATGCCAGTGTCAATATGTGATGCGGAGGATTCACACGACGAAAACTGTGGCTCGCCATGCAGCGCATTATCGGATGTGGAGAAACGTCGGATCAATAGGCAGTTGTTTTTAGTGAGTTCACAGTCTAGTATCACAGGTATTTGTTGGTCATCCACTATATGTATAGTCGAAACCACGGTCTGAAATTTTTGCATAAAAGCATACTTCATTTTCTTCTATTTGTCGACCACGCGCAGGATGTTCAGGCATTTCCTCCGGAAGAAGCACGCCATTCCGGCCAGCGAATGTTCGTCTTTATTCGAGGATACGACGAGCTAGTGAGAGAAGATATTGAGGAAAGGTGAGAGAACTTTTTGTGTAGTGAATGTGTGTAATGAATACAACAGGGGTTGAGCATTTGGGAGAATGGGACCATGGAAAAAAGTTTCGTAGCAAATATGATTTACAGTAAACCCAAATAAGTACAAATACACAAGAAATATGAACGACTACAAACATTTATTTTTTTACTA